ATCAATATTTACTGACCATGACTTTCTGTTCATAACCTCATTTATTCAGCATAGACCTGTGAAGTATGTTTTAGTTTTTTCCATGTTTCAAATGAGGAGGCAAAGACTCTGAGTGGTAAAGTTACTAGTCAAGGTCACACAGTCATTAAGTGACACTGCTGGGACCTAAACCTTGGCTGTCTGGCTCAGGCCCAGAGCTTTTGCCTTTGCTTTACCTGTGAGGGCTTCTTGGTCTTAATCTCATCATTCCAAGGGAGGAATGCACTCCTTTGCAACCCCCACCAGGGCTCACAGAGCTCACTGTTGATGGGTAGAAGTTCCTCCTTCATGCGAGGCATCTGGAAGGAAAGCACAGTCGAGGACAGGGCTTCTTTTTTTTTTTTTGAGATGGAATCTTGCTCTGTCGCCCACCCTGGAGTGCAGTGGTGCGATCTTGGTTCACTGCAAGTTCCGCCTCCCGGCTTCACTCCATTCTCCTGCCTCAGCCTCCCCAAAGTTTTCAATGAGGGCATTCAGGGAGTCTGTGCACTTGGATGGGAAGATGTACACCTTTATTTTCCTTTACTTTTTACTGGAATGTAGCAGCTCCTTTAATTCTGAACGTAGACAACAACCATTAGGAGTGTTAGCACCTGTGACTTTGTCACCCATAGAAATTGAAGAGATTTTTGTTTACATTCCCGTTGCTACCAATATCATGAAATATTGTTCATGTTCCTGACTACTTCAAGATTATGGTCATTTCTAGACTCGCTGCTAGATCCCATTATTTAATATAGTGATAAAGTATCACATATACCACTATATGCTAATGTCTTGTCTACTATTTTAATAACTCCAGCTAATAAAATGGACTTCCTTTGTAACTCTTAATATTTTTTTATTCTGAGAGGGATCCACAGCATCATCAGACCATCAAAGTAGTCCACCTCCTGGTCTAAAAAGTAGTAAGTCCAAAGCAAGATCTCAAAGAACCCATTGACCTAAGGTCAGACAGGTGGCCATTATTTTTCCAACAGAGTATGAACCAAAAGCTGAACCTGTTTTCTTCCACTCTTTTTCCCCAGCAGAGGTCCGGCCCAGTGGGAGACCCATCAATACTGCCCGGGAGCCACCGCTCACCCAAGCCTTGAGTATGTATGGTCCAGATCATTGGCTCAAGAAACTGGTGTTACTTTTTTCACAGAGTTAGCCAGAAAACATGAGTTGCTGAGAGTTGCTGAGTGCCTAGAGGAAGGCCATGAAAACTATCTATAGATCTGGATGGCTTTCCCTACCCACCTCCCCAGCCCAGGCAGACTTCAGAAGAAAGTGAGCCTGAAGGAAGCAGAAACTTCATCTGGAAGAAAGAGCTAGTGCCTTCCAACTGGAAGCTCTGGAACTGTTAATTACTACAGCCCCTCCTGGCATAGGACTGGCCAGTGTGTGGTCATACAAACACATCGACCCAGGTCATGCCTGGGGAGCTTCCTGGAAATGGTTACAGTTTAAAATAGGTCTGGGGTCTTTCCAAGTATCACATCCAGAACTGGACACAGACTGCAGATGTGGCCTGGCCAATGCCAGATTCTTAGAGACTATCACATCCTTTTATGAACCTTCTACTTTTATTTATAACATTAGCATGTATATTATGCAGGAAACGAGGCTAGATTTGCCATCAGAAACTCAATTTGAGTGCCATTTTGGTCACTGACCAGCTGTGTCCTTGGACAAGTGAGCTTCGCCTCTTAAGCGTCAGTAAAATAGAGATCATAATAATTGCCATAGAGAATGATTACAAGGATGAATGACAATTTTAGTAGCTATCACCGATTAAGCGCTTTTACACATGCAATATCATATAACATACAATTTACAACATTAGTCATTTAACCCCTACAATAACCCTGATAAGGTAGACGGGATGGCCACCATTTATAGGAATACAGGCATAGCCTTTACAGGGAGAAAGTGAAAGTTAAGCCTTTTGCACATGATCAGACAACTGATAAGTGACAGAGCTAAGATTAGACTCTGGGTCTGTCTGACTTCACTTGCCCATGTTCCGATTCACCATGCTATACTGACATGTCAGTTTTCTCTCTCTTCACCCCTCTTCCCTTTCTCCATCTTTTAAACACTTCTCCTTTTCTCCTCTTTTCTTCTTCCTTCTTCTCTCCCTCATTTTCTAGTTCCCTCTCTATATCTTTTTAAATAATTTAATTTTAATTGACAAATAATAAACATATATTTATAGGGTACAATGTGATATTATTCTATATATATACATTATGGAATAAATAAGCTAATTAACATACCTATCATCTCACTTAGTTATTTTTTTGTGATGAGAACATTTAAAATCTACTCTTTTGGCCGGGCGTGGTGGCTCACGCCTGTAATCCCAGCACTTTGGGAGGCCAAGGTGGGCAGATCACCTGAGGTCAGGAGTTTGAGACCAGCCTGACCAACATGTTGAAACCTCATCTCTACTAAAAATACAGAATTAACCTGGCATGGTGATGCATGCCTATAATCCCAGCTACTTGGGAGGCTAAGGCAGGAGAATTGCTTGAACCCAGGAGGCAGAGGTTACAGTGAGCTGAGATCACACCACTGCACTCCAACCTGGGCAACAAGAGCAAAACTCCATGTCAACAAAAAAGTCTACTCTTTCAGCAATTTTGAAATGTACAATCCATTCTTATTAACTATAGTCACCATGACATGCAGTAGATCACCAAAACTTATACCTCCAGTCTAATGGAACCTTTGTACCCTTTGACCATCTCCCCATCACCCTCCACTCTGCCCCAGCCTCTATAACCATCATTCTACTCTCTACTCCAATGAGTTCAACTTCTTTAGATTCCATATGTAAGTGAGATCATATGATATTTGTCTTTGTGTGCCTGGCTTATTCCACTTAACGTAAGGTCCTCCAGTTCGTACATGTTGCCGCAAATGAAAGAATTTCCTTCTTTTTAAAAGCTGTCTAGTATTCCATAGTGTATGTATATATACCCTTTTCTTTATTTGTTCATTCATTCACGGACACTTGGGTTGTTTCCCTATCTTGGCCATTGCGAATGATGCTGCAGTGAACATGGGAGTGGATATTTATTTCAATTCCCTCCACCCATCCACTCTGAGACACTAGAGGAGAAGAGGCCAGAGCGTTCCACCACCCTCCCCACGTTAGACGTTGGGGAAAGGAAACAATTCCAGTGAGTGGGCTGGGATCAGTCATCAGGTCACCCCAATTCTGGCAGCACACACAAAGTCCTCCTCACCTCTATTTCTCAATTCCTCTAGTTCCTGGTGATGTTTTTGCCAAGAATTCCCTGTGGAAAGGGGCCTATGAATACCAGGGGAAGAAGCAGCCAGCCATGCTCAGAGTGACTGGCTTCCAAGTTGCCAACAGCAAGGTCAATGCCACCATGATTGACCACAGCGGCGTGGAGCTGCACTTGGCTGGTAAGGAGCAGACCTCTCTATGGAAGCCAGGAGGATGGATGGGCACATACCCTTAGCAAGGATGAGCCTAATGGCATTGCATCATACTGTCATGCAAGGCTCAGACTTGTCTGGTAGTCAGGGAAGAGGAAATGTCTATTCATCTTTACATAATAAAGCACCATGGACTAAAGGGAAATGTTTAAATGGCAAATATTAATAACTTGAATATATAAAGAACTCCTACAAACAAAGGGAAAAGACTAATATCCCTAAACTGAACCAAAAATAGGGGCAGAGACTTCCCAGGAGCCAAAGTACAGTCAGTCAACAAACAAAGGAAAAAATATTTCTCAGCAATCATCAAAAAAAGTAAACACAAAACGTCATTTCCCACTTACACTATCAACTCAAGAGTGTCTTTAAATGATAACACTTAGTGCAGGTCGGTTTCAGCCATGAAGGCCAAATTCTAAAATGGTACAGTTCTGGGAAAACAATTTGGCAATTTGTGTCAAGATGCTTGAAAATGATTGGACCCATTAATTACATTTCTAACAATTTTTGTCATAAGAAGATATGGAGGGAGTCAAACATTTTTAAATAAAGGCTGTTCCCATTACAAGGCCATTTGTGGTATGTAAAAACTGGAACTAGAAAATTTCCCTAAAACAGAGAAATGGGTATTTTAATGATAGTATATCTACTAGATGAAATATTATGCCAGTGTTAAGGGAAATGCATTCATTATAATATATTTAAAATATGACTCCAGTTTTTTAAAGGAAAACATTACATTCATAAGAAAGAAAACTGGAATTATTTACAGTAACGTGGTTATTTCTTAGTGAGATCAGGAGAGATTATTTTTTCTTCATGCATCTCGGCATTTCCTAAAATTTTCCCAATTTTCAATCTTCCTATAATCAGAAAAAGTACCTTAGAAAACAGTGTTTGTTGAATACGTGGATAGATAAATCAATGTGTGAGTGAATTAACATGTTAATGCACAATCCCACATACAATCCTATCTACGCATTCATACGTGCACACACCTATGCAACTGCGGGATGACATTTGCTCATTTCACACATGATAGACACATTCACATGCTCCCATGGCCACGCCCTCATGAACTGTTGCACCCATTGAACTATCTGTACATCAGTGGACAGATTAAAACACACAAAATCATATTCTCACACATGCCTGTGTCAATAGGATCACAACCTCAACCCAGTAATCCAATTATTAACATACATATGCATATCTTAATAATTCTTGCATATAACCACATTCAGCCTACACAAACCCACACTCAACACTACACTTACAACCTAAAGGTATGTGGGGAATGTTTATATCAACATCTACACATGAAATTCCACCCAGAAACTTACACCCACCAACCCACAAATTTTAGTTTTGAAATTTTCCCAGATCTTTCGTGTGTAACCCCAGAACTTTATTTCCCAGGAACTTACAAGAAAGAAGATTTTCATCTCCTACTCCAGGTGTATCAGATTACAGGGCCGGTGGAGATCTTTGTGAATAAGTTCAGAGATGATCACTGGGCTTTAGATGGACACGTAAGTTCAGCAAACTCACCTCCTCCCCTGATTCCCAGATCACTGACAGGGAAGAGGAGGACAAAAGGGTGTGTGAACTCCTAGGATCAATCTGGAAACTTGGGAGGAGGTTTTCTGTGAGGCCCTGCCTAGGAGCAGCAAGAGGGTCCTCATCTGCTAATGAAACAGGCAAAGGAAAAGATTTTAAAAGCCAGAGAGTTGGAGTAAGTTCTGTTGTTTGAACAGAAAGCAGGGGATGAAGATCGGGGGCAGAGGGAATTCAGGCTAGTCGAAGGTATTGATGTGGTGGGTGGGAGCTGGAAGAAGGCAGTGAGTCTCACGTGACTACCTTGAACTTCTGCTCACACTTGAGGATGCAGATTGTCAGTGATTTAGCAGAGCTTTGAGAGACCAGGACATGGCAGAGGGATAGGACTTTCTTGCATTCCCTTGTGGAAAAGACATTCTATTCTAGGGCTTTCTTGAGGTGGAAGCTGGGTCTCCAGTGACACTTCTCTGGCCATACCTTCCTATGTCACACATAGTGGAGTTGAGCATAGCATCCCCTGCCACGTCCTCCATTTCTCTGTCTTGGATTGCTGGAGCTAGAAGAGAAAGCATAGAATGAAGTGAGAGGTCGTGGTAGAGCAGAATAGCAGAGAGCTAGGGAGTCACAGTGCATTCTCATGGACAGGACCAGCTGGTGGAGGGCTGTGGCAGCGTTGACTTTGCTTCATAAGCACATCAGGAGAACCAAGTGGCTTCTCCAGGGACTGGCACATACAGGTAGTTCCTTGGGAGGCCCAAGGGTATCTGTAGGTCCCCTTCGTAATCCAAGTATGAGCCAGCTTCAATCATCGTGGCCCAAAAGCTGTGCAGGAACAATAGACTCCACCATCCAGGAGGGTCAAAGCTGGGAGATGGAGCTAGGAGTGCAGGCCAGGGGAAGATGACGATCAGGCTCCAGAGGGCCAGGAACAGCTGGAGCTACTGCCTAGGACACCAAACAACCGTGGAGCCTTTCGATAGCCAGTGAGGCGTGTTTTGGGGGACAGTTGGGGAGGGCAGACAGAGAGGCTGCTTCTAGCCACGGAGTATAGGTTGGAAGTAGCCAGGAGCGCAGGCATCCTCACAGCATGCCCTCAGCTGCTGTGGCCCCAGACTGCACATTTGGGGATCTGCGTGTGTCACATGAGCATCAGTGGCAGGAGTTAGGTCCCCAGCTACGCCCCCTAAAAAATTAATAGCTCTTAGAACTGTGACGAACTCTCCAATACCTTTAATCTGCAAGGGACATTTTCACCATGGCTCTGTATGTTCCTAATGCTCCAAAAGGTGGTTTTTCATCACAGTAATAACAGCTACCATGCATCTAAGGCCTATAAATTAAGCATTCTGAAGTGTTTCATCTTTATTAACTCATTTCATCCTTACAGCCACCCTATGACATAGGTACTGTTACTATTCTCATTTTGCATATGAGAAGCTGAGGCACAGACAGATTAAGTGATTTGACCAGTAGAAAATAAAATCTTCCTCCTACCTCATACATGTAGCTGGTGCCCCTGCCCCACCCCGGGCTCCCTGGTCACGTCCACCCTTGCGTGGGTGTGGGCAGAGAACAAACCCTGTGTGTCGGAGCAGCAGGTCAGTGGGTGACTCTGACCTGCTGGGCAGCATGTACGATGAGAGAGGAGTTCTAGATCCTTCCAGCAGCCTCCCACTTGCTCTCTGTGCTCCCCTCCATCACAGGTCTCGTCAGAGTCCTCCGGAGGCACCTTCATCTACCAAGGCTCCGTCAAGGGCCAAGGCTTTGGGCAGTTCGGCTTTCAAAGACTGGGTAACTAGTGCTTGTCCCCCGGAAGCGTGGGCCCGGGTGGGTGGGAGAGAAACCGTGTGTGCCGCAGGCAGGTAGAGGACTGGGGAAGTTGAACAGTGTGAGGCGGGGGTGCTTGGCCTCTTTGGGATTAGGGACGCCTTTTGAGATTCTGACAAAAGCTATGGAATATCTCTCCAAAAGCAAACACATATGCATAACCCACTCAACCTTTGACAAAGTTTCCTGCTCAGACCTGGAGGGGAGAGCCCCCAACTCCAGGGACACTGGGTCTTAGATACAGCCCCCAGCCACACCCCCAGCCAGCCCTCAGGTGTCACCCCTGCCTCAATGAAGAGCAACATTGTGGAGTGTCTTAGGGCTCCCAGGGTGCCTTTACTGTGATGTCGTTTCTGCCCTAGCCCAGTCCTAGAAGGCTGGTTTTGTGCCCATTGTACAGATGAGAAAACTGAGAGTCAAGGCCACTTCCCTCCCTGGTCCTTCCGTGGCCTCTTTACCTAGCATGCTTCCTGTCATTCATGTCAAACATCCACACCTTGGAGCCTGGTCCTGGCCTAGAGCCTCCAGGTGCCCAGCCTCGGACTCTGGTAGCAGGAGGGGTCTGTTTTCTCAGAAGCAAGGGAGGGGGAAACAGGAGGCAGCCATGGGTACGTGAGAGCCTCCCTGTACCCCAGGCACTGACACCTCCCGTCCCCAGGGCCCCTGCCTGCCAAGGCAGTCCACTGCACGTCCTCTGGCTCCGAGCTCCGGAAAGCTTCTCCGGACTGAGCCACGGTCTGCCCCCGCCTCTCCCACTCACACTGCTCCTCCCCCGGAATTGCCCCAGCTCTGCCCTCATGAGCTGCATGGACTGAGACCACTGTCTTCCACACAGCACCCTTCACCTACTCCAAGATGACCAGGCATGCTGCAAATGTCTTAGAAAATCACAGTTTTTGTCCTGGCTCCACAGCAGACATCCTGTCCCCTCAGAGCTCCAGCCCCTCAATTAGCAGGGTGCCTAATGGGGGCCACAGTGTCTACTTGTGTTATTCTGAGCCTTCCCAGTCTGCAGGGGGAGGGCGAGGAAGGAGGATGCCTTCCAGAAGGAGGTGCCTCAGCTTCAACCAGAACAATTATGCCTTCATCTATCTTATATTTTGGTGTCCCTGTAAGGTTTCATCTGATAAAAGGCTGCTACAGCCAAAAGAACTTTAGAGATTTACTCTGCACCCTTGTAAGAGTTTCCGTTGAGCCATGGTTTCAGCCTCCTCTCTGAGTGGTCCTCTGGGTGCCATCTGAGCGGCACAAGGTAGATGCATGCAGGACCCTGCCCCCAAGGACTGAGTGCGCACGTGGAGGCAGGCGGGCGGCCCTGGGCACACCTGCCTCCCATGCTGAGCAGGAGTGAGGAGCACCCTGAGTGGCAGCCCTGCTCCCCAAGAGTGTGTAGTCAGGGAGGGCAGCCGACAGAGCCTCAAACTGTGTCTCTGTGACTTGATTTTTTTGCTTTGGGACTTTACAGACCTCAGGCTGCTGGAGTCAGACCCCGAGTCCATCGGTCGCCACTTTGCTTCCAACAGCAGCTCGGTGGCAGCCGCGATCCTGGTGCCTTTCATCGCCCTCATCATTGCGGGCTTCGTGCTCTATCTCTACAAGCACAGGTACCACACAGGAAGGAGGCAGGACGGGCATCAGGCGGGCCCTCCCTCTCTCCCTGGAGCCCCCCCCCCGCCACCGCACCACTGCACCAGACCCCTAAGCCTCTCTGTGTCACTCTTTTCATGCTGTGGTCACTTCCTCTTTTATTGCCAGGAGAAGACCCAAAGTTCCCTTCAATGGCTATGCTGGCCACGAGAACACCAATGTTCGGGCGACGTTTGAGAACCCAATGTACGACCGCAACATCCAGCCCACAGACATCATGGCCAGCGAGGCGGAGTTCACAGTCAGCACAGTGTGTACAGCGGTATAGCCACCCAGCCTGGCTGCCACCACCGCCACCGAGAGCCCCGCCTCCAGCAGCCGGTGAGCAAGGGTGTGGGAGGAAGACAGGTCATGACAGGCACAGACAGGGACCTGTGCATGCCAGGGGCTCCACCCAACGGAGTCGCACACGCCACACAGACACACCCAGTGAGAGGAGAGCTGTGCACTGAGCATCATTGTGTATCAGGCACTGAACCAGGCCCTTTGTGGATCTAACATATTGAATCCCTGCACCCCCTGTGAGGTAGAGGCTACTGGGAGCCCCATTACAGATGAGAAACCTGAGCTGCAGAGAAATTAACTTGAGCAAGATCACACAGCTCAGAAGGGGTGGGTTCAAAATCCCATCGCAGGCTGGCTGGCTGCAGAAACTGTGCTCCCCGCCCCTGGACTTGGCAGAACATCGACGTGGATTAGTCTGTTTCTCTCCAGAGAAACAGAACCAACGGGATATATACATCCTCTGGGTCGAAGTCAAGCCCTGGAGATCTGTAGAGCTATACAGAGATGCACATATATGTGTGTATATAGGTATATTGTGTATATATATACTTTCATACACTATAAATGCAATACATATACCTATACATCTCTGTATCAATGTATATCCATACCTATCCATCTATATATAGATATGCATCTTCATAGTTATATGTGTATGTTATATAGAGATAGAAATATAAATAAATATATATATTTAGAGAGAGAGACTCATCTAAGGAACTGGCTGGCAAGGTGGAAATCTACAGGGCAGGCCAGCAGGCTAGAAATTCCAGCAGGAGTTGATGCTGTCATCTTGAGTCCGAAGGCAGTCAGAGAGGGAATTCCTTCCTCCTCGGAGCACCTCAGTCTTTTTCTTAAGGCCTTCAGCTGATTGAATGAGGCCCACACACATTGTGGAGACTCAAAGTCTACTGATTTCAATGTTAATCATATCTGAAAAGATACCTTCACAGCAATATCCAGATTGGTGTTTGACCCGTCAACTGAGCACCAGAGCCTAGGCAGGTTGACTTACAAAATTCCCCATCACATTGAGCACAACAGAGGGGAGGAGCCCCCCAAGATATGGACAGAGGGGCAGACAGACCTGCATGTGTACACGGTCATGCACACACACACGCACATACGCACACACGCACGCAGGCATGCATCTGACAGGTCCACTGGGAAGGAACTGATGAATCTAAAAGGCACTGCCTCTTCCTCACTGTGTCCTCCTTCGATGACACCCTCACCTCTGGGACCTGGGACCCTTCAGGAGTTGCCCCTACACGATGTCCAAGCCTCTCCCCTCTGAGAACTGTCCTCCCACACATCCTGCTTTCTGGGGATAGGCAGATGCCCTCTCTCAGGTCTTGGGCTAAAGGGCTCTGGGGAGAAGAGTCACAGAGCCAGCCAGGTAGGGATTTCCAGTGAGGGCAGTGGAAAATCCACCAAGTGGGCCACCAGCCAAACCCAGGGCTAGTGCCGTGCTCCTTCTCCACACTCCTGTGCACGGCAGCTCACGTGGTGGATATTCCCAGCCACACACAAATGGCAGTGCAGCGAGGAAACAGGTTTGTATGAGGGGGCCTGAGAAGGCCACCAACGGGGATGTTAGGGACGGTTCCTGCCGAGGGGGTTACAAGAGCAGCGAAGGTCATTATCACTGCCCAGCCCCTGACGTGCTTTACTCCCTTTCCACCTCACAACTCCAGGAGGATTTCACAGCCTCAGCCTGAGTCCCAGATGGTGAGCGAGTCAGGGATGCAGCAGATGCAGCTCCTGAATACAAACAATTTATGGAAAGAGCTCTTCCCCATCTTTTTACGTCTCTCCAAAACAAACATTTAGATAAGGGTTCCCCCTTATTCCAGTGGGATTGTTTTAGCCTGCCAAAATTACTCCTCAAGTTTCATCTGTGTGCCCAATCTTCACTTTTTCCTACTCAGAACTCTTATCAACAGAAGGCAAAAGAGAAAAAGAAAAATCCCCTCTGACGATGTAAATCGGGGCTTGGAGATGATCAGTGACGAATCTGATTCACTGCATGAATTATTGAACAGTGTAGGAAAGAAACAAGAATGCCCCCTGACCTCCGCACACGCACTCTTGCTCCACACTTGGGCTCTGCTGGGTTCCAGGTGCTGGTGTGCGCCATGCTGTCACCTCCAGGTCGGCTCCACATCTGGGCAGCCCTCAGCATTGGCCCCTTGCCAGCAGGCTCCAAACCCACTGCCCAGCCCAGCGGTCTCCAGCACAGCCCCTCTGACCACTTCTGCCCACAGCTGGAGCACAAAGAAAGCAAGAGCCACCCTGAACAGACACCCACATATTTCAAATGAGTGACTAGATGGTAACTTTTTTAAAATAATGCCAAGGAGAAAAGCAGAAATTAAAATAAACACCGTACTAGGGAAGCAACGAGGCCTGTGCAGCCAGCGAGTAACAGGGCAGAGGAACAGGGCTGTGTGATGATGTGTGCCGACCCTTCCTCCATTAAAAACAAGTATTAAAAATGAGATTTCACAACTGTGTCACTACAAAAATGAATATAATCCAGCCTGGATTCTTTATTACCGATCCATTATTATCCTAGTCATTTTTTTTCATCTGATTTTGAAAGGAACTAAAATTAGAATGTTTTCCTGGGCTCCTAAAAGTATGGTGGCCCCCAAGCACCAGGCCTCCAGGTCTAATGGCGAAGTTGGCCCTGCAAGGGAAAAAGACAGAAAAATTCATATTGTGCTGCACGCATTCCCTACCTACCCCCATCCCCAACCTGGGAAGATGAAAATCAAAGTGAAGATCGAGGTGATTCATCTCTTTCCCGCTTGTTCCTTCTTTGCTTTGCTGCTTTGCTTTTCTTCCTCTGCTCCCGGCCCCTCCCCTCCCACTGCCTCTTTTTCCTTTGCAAACCCAGGTGTGATCTGTTTGTTCCCAGTTCCCCAGGGGGCAGGAAGTAGGCTCCCCTGAGCACAGTGCCCAGTGCCCATCTTCGTTCGTCTCTCTGCCTGTGTCTGCTACTGCTGGGACTCGGACCCTCGCCCTGCCGCCATCTATGCCCGTCACCCTGGAGAGGACTCCTGCCGTGTCCTGAAAAGGCAGAAAAGGAAGAGGGGTTGCAGATGGAGGAAGAAAGTTTATGGATTTAAAATAGCAAAGCAACTTGTGGATGTGTGTGTGTGTGTGTGTGTATGGGCCTGACTACATACACACACACACCCCGCTCCTCCATTCACGTCCTCCGGAAGAGACCATAAAGGCTTCAAAAATAGAAGTGCTCATGAAGGATGCTTCATGCCCTGTTCCCCGCACACAGAGAAGAGATGAAGACGGGGAGGTACGGTCAGCTTTCAAACCAATATGCCCCCCGCCCATCCCATGTGTGAGGACACGGTGACTCAGTGACTGTAAGAGTAGGACACATCCCATGGTGTGGTCAGCGTGCAGAAACCAGCTGTCTGCTGATGGACGGCCCCAACTGCACAGCGGCAGCAAGGATTACCCCAAGGGCAGGAAAAAAGTCTTTGGAAATAGATTGAAAATCAGTTTATTTTTTTCAAACACAATTTTATTGAGTTCTAAACCCAGTGGATTAAAAAGTCGTTTGGGTCCTGGGAGGCACTGGGAAAGAAGGGAGAACCAGGGAGGATAGGGCAAGAGTCTGGCTGGGAGCCCAAGGTCAAGTCTGGCTGTCAACTGAGAAAGAGAAGAGAAGACAAGTCTGCGGCCCAGAGAGGATGCCAGGTCTGCGGGCAGCAGCAGGGTTCTTGAGAGAACAGGGGAGCAAGCCTGCCCTGGTACCCAAAAAACAATAGCTATCAGGTACTGGGTTTATTTTCTGTGCCTGACACTTTACCTATGGTATTTCTAGTCTGCACAATAACACCAAAACGTAGGATTTATTATTTCCCTTTGACAGATGAGAAAACAGAAGCCTGGAAAGGTAAAGACATGTGGGCCACAGAGTTAGGAAGTGTGGAGTCAGAATGCAAACCCAGATCAGTCCGCCCCAAAGTCCACTACACCAGCTGCCAGAAACCCCGGTCTAGAAGGGGCAGCTAAGAAGGGAGGAGCCGATGAATCTCTGCGGTAGCACTGTGGCCAGGTCTGGAAAGCCAGACAAGACACCTGTGTGTCCTATCTGGGTTCTGCTGTCTCTGCGTAGGCAGCCTCGGGGCAAGGACTCAGCTCCCCAGGCCTCCTGCGGTTGGTGCTGGCTCCTTGGCTCCCAGCAGCCGCTGACCATAGCCAGTAAAAGTCCTGGCAGGTCCTGAATCAAAACAACGGAGTGGCTGAAAGTCACACTCTCCAGCTCCTTGCAAGTGGGTTTGATTTATTTTCACAGCTATATTATGCTTGGGTCATTCATGAATTCCATAAGCATTGTTGGGAAGTTCAAGAGTTTAGGAATCAAAGTATAGCATTTAGAGCCACTTTCTCTGTCCTCAGGAAGGCCCCCACAAGCTTAAGCCTCTGTACCTGTGTGACATGCTGGCCTCAGAGGGTCATATCCCATATTGAAATAACAAATAGAAATGTGCAGGAGCGGAGGGACAGCGACACCTGGTTCTTAAGCAAATTCTAGGTTGGAACAATTAGAAGATCTGACTGACGTTAAGAGTAAAGTGAGAGGCGTCCGTTTCCAGCAGCCACAATGGAGGCTGACAGAGGCAGGAGCCTACCCCTGGCCGCACCACCTCTGGGACACGGCACCCTGGGCTTGGAGGGAGACGGCCAATCCAGACACACTCACACTCTCATCTCTTTCCTTGGCTGGAAACAAGTGCAGGAAGCTCCCCTCCTGATTTCTTACACTCCCTTCCCCCCGACGCTCCTCTCCTTTGACTACTCCCTTCCCCCTTCTTATGCCCCTCTCAGACCACCCAGCGGACGCCTCTTCCCGCCCCCCCATTCCTCCCCTGCGTCTCCTTGTAAAGTTCCATGAGATGCTCGAGGAGCACCTGCTGGTGGGGCACCCAGCACTCTGCTGGGCATCACCCTCCACACCCCTGGCATTTCTCTCCACCTCCAGAGGCTTGGAAAGGAACAGGGCAGGTGAGGCCCTTCACCCACCATCTACGCCATATACCCATCACCATCCCGTGAGGAAAAAAAAAAAAAAGTAAAACAAAAACAAAAAAAATCTTTTGTACAGAGATATATTTTTATTATACAAAGTTTGTACAGTACCAAAAAAGAAAAAAAAAAGGTGTAAATTTTTTTTCATTATTGTAGGTAAACGGTAGTGGAAGCCTTTTTTGTAAATGTAATAAAATGTATAAATATGGTTTTCAGAAAACATCCAGTGCTGTAAATATGTAATCTACACACCTTCTTGGCTTGTCTGCAGTATATACATTTAATTTATCTGTCTCTGTATATGAGGCTTCCCCCTGGGGTCCTGCATTATGGTACTTTCCTGAATTTGAAAGCAATTTTAAATTTTTTGAATTCAAATAAAATATAAATTTTTGCATTGGTTTTCTTACATTTTTATGGCCTCTTTCATGACTAGGGGCAAGTGTTTGTTGGGAAAGGGGACGAAAGACATATTTTAGCCTACAATCCAAGGTAGAAATATGGGAGTCCATTTCTTAACTGCAGTGTGTTAACACTGCTACGTGTTGGAAACTCCGAGCAAAAATGATAGTGCATACCCCACATACAAAAGTTAACTCAAAATGGATCAAAGACCTAAACATAAGACCTAGAATTATAAAATGCTTACAAGAAAACGTAGGTGGAAAGCTTCATGACATTAGATTTGGCAGTGATCTCCTGCATATGACATCAAAAGTATAGGCAACAAAAGAAAAAACAGATAGGGGGTGGAGCAAGATGGCCAAATAGGAACAGCTCCAGTCTCCAACTCCCAGCGCGAGCGACATAGAAGACCAGTGATTTCTGCATTTTCAACTGAGGTACTGGGTTCATCTCACTGGGGAGTGCCGGACGATC